CGTAATAAATCAAAATCAACCGTTGACTAGGGTAAAATTTTTTATTTATTTAGTATTTATAGTGTTACATTTGCTATATTACAGATAAACTCATAACTAAATGACTAAATATATCAATGGTAAAATAACAAAAAAAATGAAAATTAAGATATCATCTTTATCGTTGGAAATTTTATAAAGGAAGGGAGAAGTATCAATTGGCCCAATAAAAGGAAATATCACAAAAATCACACATATATGTTGTTAATTTTCCTTGAAAGGTACTTAAAAAAAAAGCTAAAGAGAAGAATTGAATGAGATATATTAAAGAAACATCCTATTGCCTTTTAGTCAACTTCTTATGGCCTAGCAGAAGGTGCAAAACATAATTGAGGTTGATTTCTTTCATAGAGTTAAAGATCAAAAAGGTATTTTATAATTTGGAGTAAAACATTTTGATGATAAAGGGTCCTTGATATTAAGTGAAGGTCACTCCATCCACTTTATCATTTGAATTGTAAAATATTCATGTTTCAAATGCATTAAAGATTAATAAAAAATTATTTTCTTGTAGGAAAATTATGTTAGAGACAAGGTGTTAATTACTTCCATATACCCTTTTAAGCTTTGAATTATATATATTTTTATGAATATTTCTAAGTATTTTACTAATTATCTTTAATTATTAAGCATAACGTAAAAGTTTTATGAGTATTTAAACAAGAAGATCATCTAATTTAAACCAACTGATGATAGATAAAATAACAAATTTTATAATTAAAAGTAGCAAGCTTTATATATATATATATATATATTTAGCTTTGCCAACTAAGCAACAAATGTTAATCTTTATACTTAGAAAAGAGAAAAGGGAAAAGGGAAATGTGAAAAATATTACCTCATTTCAATAAATTTTTCTCAAAAAAATATTAAAAATCATATATTTAGAACATTAATTAGATTTTTGTCTTAATTTTCTTTTGGTCCTTTATTTAAAACAACACAGTTTCAATGTAATGTTCATTTTAATTTTTAAGTAGTACAATATATATAAATACTAATTTCTTTTGAAAATTATACTTATAATTTATCAACAAAATAAGAAGATAATGTGGAAACATTCCATTAATTTAGCTTTTAGAAAGTAATAGAAGGAAAAACAAAGGAACAAGAAATTCCATTTCCCAGAAACTTACCTCCAGCAAAAAGAGTCATCATGGAAAATTCTATTTATTTACATTGGAAAAAGAGCAAAAGAGGTGACGGAAAATAGGGTAAGAAATTCACTTTAATTTGTAAAGAATAGAAAAGGTAAACGGGAACTTTCAAAGAAATGGGACACTCGTCTTTGGTCAATTATTCACATAGTGGCAGAAAGCAGAAAAGGACAAGAAAGAATAAAATAAGAAAAAGCAAGCAGGAAAGGATAAGCATGACTAGATAAGAAAGAATAAAATAAGAAAAAGCAAATAAGAAATATCACAGAAACATAATTGCATTTGCTAACCTTAAATTCATATGCGCGTATGGCTACAGCGGTGTCTCTGCTCTGTAAAAACAAGGTTGCATTTAAATCCCTCCTCATCTGTGCTCAGTTCAAAGAAAGAATAAAATAAGAAAAAGCAAATAGAAAATATCACAGAAACATAATTGCATTGGCCAAGCAGAAATCCATTTTCGCGCATGGCTACAGTGGTGTCTCTGCTCTGTAAAAACAGGGTTGCATTTCAATCCTTCCTCATCTGTGCTCAGTTCAAAGAAAGAATAAAAAAAAAATTTGTGTTTTTTTGGCTGTAATAAATCAAAATCAACCGTTGAATGGGGTAACAAATTTTTTTATTTATTTAGTATTTATAATGTTACATTTACAATATTGCAAGTAAACCTATTACTAAACAATTAGATATATCAATGTCAAAATAATTAGGAAAATAAAAATTAAGATATCATTTCTGTTGTTAGAAATTTTACAGAGAAAAGGAGAAGTAGCAATTGCTCCATCAAAAGAAATATCACAGAAATCACACATATAATTTGTTAATTTTCCTTGAAAGGTACTTAAAGAAAAGCTAAGGAGAAGAATTGAATGAGATATATTACAGAAACATCCTATTGCCTTTTACTAAATTTCTTATGGCCCAGTAGAAGGTGCAAAACATAATTGAGGTTGATTTCTTTGATAAAATTAAAGATCAAGAGGGTATTTTGTAATTTGGAGTAAAACGTTTTGATGATGAAGGGTCCTTGATAATAAGTCAAGGTCACTCCATCCACTTTATCATTTGAATTGTAAAATATTTATGGATTAAACACATTAAAAATTAATAAAAAATTATTTTTTTGTAGGGAGATTATGTTAGAGATAAGGTGTTACTTCTATATACTCTTTTGAGCTTTGAATTTTATATATTTTTATGAATATTTTTAAGTATTTTACTAATTATCTTTAATTATTAGTCATAATGTAAAAATTTTATGGACATTTAAATAAAAAAATATCTAATTTAAATCAATTGATGATATATAGAATAACAAATTTTATAATTAAAAATAGCAAGCTTTTTATATATATATATATATATATTTAGCTTTGCCAACTAAGCAACAAATGTTAATTTTTATATTTAAAAAAGAGAAAAGAGAAAAGAAAAATGTGAAAAATATTATCTCATCTCAATAAATTTTTATTAAAAAATACTAAAAATCATATTTTTAGAACATTGATTAGATTTTTTTTGTCTTAATTTTCTTTTGATCCTTTATTTCAAACAACATAATTTTGAATGTGATGTTCATTTTAATTTTTAAGTAGTACAACAGATATAAGCACCAATCTCTTTTGAAAATTATAATTATAATTTATCAACAAAATAAGAAGATACCGTTGAAACATTCCATTAATTTACCTTTTAGAAAGTAATAGAAGCAAAAACAAAGGAACAGGAAATTCCATTTCCCAGAAACTTACCACCAGCAAAATGGAGACACCATGGACATTCAAAAAAAAAACAAAAGAGGTGACGGAAAATAGGGTAAGAAATTCACTTTAATTTGTAAAGAATAGAAAAGGTGGACGGGAACTTTCAAAGAAATGGGACGGTCGGCTTTGGTCATGTATTCACATGGTGGCAGAAAGCAGGAAAAGAGAAGCACTCCTAGATAAGAGAGAATAAAACAAGAAAAAGCAAAGCAGGAAAAGATGAGCACTACTAGACGAGAAAGAAAAAGTAAGAAAAAACAAATATAGGAAATATCACAGAAACATAATTGCATTGGCTAGGCAGAAATCCATATGCGCGTATGGCTACAGTGGTGTCTTTGCTCTATAAAAACAGGGCTGCATTTCAATCTCCCCTCATCTGTGCTCAGTTCTCTCACAAACACCATCTCTGTTTGTCTCTCAGGATTCTCTTGCGTTTGCTATCTTTCTGTGTGGCTAAGCATTTTAGGATTAGATCTGGTAAGTGATTACGTTTTATTTGCGGATTCTTCATCAACATTTCAACATATTTTTAGTCCAGTGGCTGCTCCAATCTCTGCTCTCTCAACACTATTCCCCTTTTCTTTTGCAGAGTTTAATTGTGCTAGCCATTTTTCTCTGATTCTCAAAGCATAATGGCTGAATTCGCCCTCAACTTCGTCAGCCCAATCATAAAGTTTGCAGTCTCTAAAGCAATTTCATTTGCTGCTCCACAAATCAGCACGGCATGGGGTCTGGAGAAGGAGCTGGGGGAGCTTGCTCAAACGCTGACTATGATCCAAGGATTGCTTCAAGATGCTGAAGAGAGGCAAGAAAGCGATCCAGCCATAAGGAGTTGGTTACAGAACCTCGCAGATGCAGCTTATGATGCGGTGGATGTAGTGGATGAGTACGAGTATGAGGTTCTTAAGCACAAAGTTCAGACTCAAGGCCGAAAAATGAAACAGGTGCGCACCTTCTTTGGTGTTTTCAATCGCGCTGCCTCTCGTCTTAGCATGGCTGATAAGATTAGGAAGATTAATAAGACTCTGGATAAAATCTACAACAAAGGGGTTTTGTATCTGTCAATCAGATTTAGTGGCCAATGTCATTCCACTGCTGGTGCAAGGCAATATCCTAAGACAGATCCCCACCCTGATCGTTTCAAATTTGTAGGAAGGGATAATGATGTCTTAGAAATTGTCAACAAGCTGGATAACATAAGGAGTCAACATATCCTCTCTGGCATTTCAATAGTAGGCTTTGGGGGCATAGGCAAGACAACATTAGCGAAGTCAATATGGAGTATGGTAAAAGAACAAAAGTTGTATGACCTGGTGGCTTGGGTTTGTGTGTCTGAGGAATTTGATGAAAAAATAATATTAGGAGATATGTTAGAATACCTTGGTAGCTCTGTTGGTCGAATGAATAATATAGGTGCACTTATTCAGGAACTTGGACAGAAGTTAGAAAATAGAAAATTTCTTCTAGTTCTTGATGACGTGTGGAATGAAGATAGAGGCAAGTGGGATAGTTTCAATTCTCGTTTGTTACAAATTTCAAAAACCAGTGGAAACTCCATTCTTGTGACTACTCGTAGTGATAAGGTAGCATCCATAATGGAGGCACTTCCAATGCAAAAACATGATATGGTAAAGCTATCAGATCATGAATGCTGGTTGATAATTGAGGACATAGTTCTCAGATCATCAACAGAAACTTCAATACCTTTGGATTTAGAAGGTATTGGACAAGAAATTGCCAAAAAATGTGGGGGGTTGCCATTAGTTGCAAGTGTAATTGGAGGAACATTGAGTCGTGAAATGAAGACAGATAAGTGGCAAGAGATCCTAGATGATAAAGCATGGATTTTGCAAGATGAAAATAAGAAGATTTTATCTATATTGAAAATCAGTTTTGATCGTTTGCCTTCATCCTTAAAAAAGTGCTTCTCTTATTGTTCAATTTTTCCAAAGGATGCTGTCATTTTCATCGATGATTTAATTCAACTTTGGGTGGCTCAGGGGTTTGTTCACAAATCTAATGAAAGCCTTGTGGAAACGGAGGATATTGGTAATGAGTATTTCAAGGAGTTGTTATCTAATTCTTTTTTCCAAGATATTGAATGGGATTTGTATGGGAATATTGAATCTTGCAAAATGCATGATCTAGTGCATGATCTTGCATTGCTTGTTTCAAAAGGTAAGACCTTGGTTTGGGACACTAGTTGCAATTTTGATGTTCAGGATTGTAGTACTATTCGACATTTGAGAGTCAAGTCCAGGGGAGAGGATCTTCGAACCATTCCAAGAAGTGTTGCTCAAAGGCTGCATTCTTTGTTTTCACATGCTGATGTTTTTTGTAGCATGGCGTCAGATCTCAAAAGCTTGCGATCCTTGAAATTAGTGGGAGGTCGGAAAAAGTTGCCAGCTTCTCTTGGCAAATTGAAGCATTTGCGGTACCTTGACATCTCAAAAACTGATGTCAGAACAGTACCAAAATCCTTCTCCAAGCTCTATAATTTGCAGACTTCAAATTCTCTTTATTGCTATACTCTTGAAAAGCTTCCCAATGGCATGGCAAATCTCATCAGCTTGAGGCATATCTATTCTAGTCGTCCAAGTGATATATCGATCATGCAGTTAACTTCGCTTCGAACATTATCACACTTTGTTGTGGGCACAAAAAAGGGATGCCGGATTGAAGACCTTGGACGCTTAAGCCAACTTGGAGGAAAACTGGAGATTTGGAAGCTTGAACATGTCAAATCCAAATTGGAAGCTTCTAAAGCAAACCTGAAAGAAAAGGAAAAATTGCATCAATTGAAATTATACTGGAGTAGTGACTATGAAAGAGCAGTCAACAACAATGATGAAGAGGTTCTAGAAAGCCTTCAACCTCATTCAAATTTGAAAAGCCTCACTATTGATGGTTACAAAGGAAAGATGTTCCCATCTTGGATGGGGAATGATGTCAATAGTTCTGGTTCTTCATTCCTTCTTGACAACATGGTGGAGTTGCGGTTAAGTGATTGCAATGAGTGCACGTGTATTCCGAGTTTGGGACTATTGCCTTTTCTCAAGGTCCTTTACATTGGACGAATGGAAAATGTTAGAAGAATGGGCCACAAGCTTCAGCCTGGTGGAGCAGAATCAATCAAATTGTTCCCAGCTTTGAAAACACTCACTGTAGATGGCATGCAAAGGCTAGAAGAATGGGTTGAAGTTGTTGAGGATGCAGCTGTAGGGAGCCAAGGTGTGATCGTGTTTCCTTGCCTTGAGGGTGTAGGGATTTCTGATTGTCCTTTGTTGAAGACCTGGTCGATGGGCGGATTTTCATCCCATCATAAGCTCTCTGTGTTGTGGATAGAGCAGTGTTGGAAACTGATGGCTATCCCTAGTTTAGATGGGCTCTCAACTCTTAAAAGGTTTGGGCTCGTGGGCAATAATGGATTAACAAGTCTACCAATTGGGCTTGGATCTTGCATCTCTCTTCAGTTCTTGCAAATTGGAAGTTGCCAAAATCTGAACTCCATTCCAATTATGAATGGGTTTACATCTCTTGAATGCCTCTGCCTTTCTCGTTCCGATGGATTAACGTGTCTTCCAATTGGGCTGGACTCTTGCATTTCACTTCAGAAGTTGAAAATTGAATTTTGCCCTAATTTAATTTCTATTTCTGACGATATCAAGAAATTGCGTTCTCTCAGTATTCTTGTAATAGAAGATTGCGAAAATCTAAGGAGCCTTCCAGAGGAGTGGCTAGATAGCCTCACCCGCTTGAAGAAGTTACGCCTTGGTCCTTTTTGTTCGGAGTTGGAGGAATTCCCAGGATTGACCTCCATTCATCAATTCCACCCCTCGCTTGAATTATTGGTCCTGTCCGGATGGGATAAACTAAAGTCTCTGCCACATCAGCTTCGACATCTCACTGCCCTCAAGCAATTAAGGTTAAACTACTTCAATGGCCTGGAAGCTTTGCCAGAGTGGTTGGGAGACTTCTCTTCTCTTCATTGGCTGGGTATTGGGAGTTGCTCTAATTTGACTCATCTGCCTTCTATTGAAGCCATGCGAGGCCTCTGCAACTTAAAATATCTTGAAATTTGGTGTTGTCCGAAATTGAAGAAAAGATGCGCCAAAAAGAGGGGCCCCGAATGGTCCAAGATCTCCCACATTCCCAATATCGAGATAGGGTCGAAGGACGTGCAGGGGGAATCCCAATCTTCCGATGGTATGTTTAATTTCTGGAACCCTAATCCCTTCACTCGACATCATTTAAGTATTATGCTAATCAGAAATTTAACGGCTGTAAAGCATTTCTTTTTAATCTTTTACTTTGGAAAAAAAACACGTCCTCTCCTCTAAAACATATTATGTTATTCAAATAATCAAGTTATAGTCTTTGACCAAATTTCGGTGATTCATGCCGATTCAGATTTCTGGTTCTAAATATTTATGCGCATCTGCTCAGACCTCACGGTTCCTCTAAAGCTAGTGAGTTCCTGAATTCCTTTCTGCAATCCTTCTGTTCATTTTTATTTTCATTCCAATTCCATAGCTATGTTTTTTTACCAATAGGTCCTTTGTTATTTTCATAATTCTTTGAGTAGCCATGGTCTAATTGTGAACTGATGCATAATCAAATGCTTAGATTAGCCAACTGTAAATCTCTAGAGTAGAAGACTGGCAAGACTAACAATCAGAAGCTTTCATTTTTGAGGTCTGCTTTCTTTTCTCTATAAACCAACTTTTAGATTTTGAGTATGATTTTTTTTTTCTTTTGTGTTTTTCTTTGTTCAATTCAGTTTTGTTCAACTATGTTCCTTAAAATAATTACAGGCAATCTAATTTTCCTGATCTGAAACCAAAAAAATATCATAATGAGTGGAGGGAATTTTCACACTAGGGACCCAACCAGATGAGTAGTCCTCTCTTTGAATTGTTGAGGCTCATAAACAGATTTAGCTATTCTACAGCCATGTAGTTTTCGAATTATGACCACATTTTGAGGTGCAAGTTTACTGGTATTTAGACATTTGTCTTGCTGATCAAAGTCTTGTCCTGTCTTGGACTGCCAGTTTAAGTGGTCTGCCCTACAAAGGTCGGTTGTGAAACAAAAATCATCTTTTAATTAAGATTTGATTTTATTTTGGCAGGATTTTACTTCACTTTAGTGATTATGATTCACCAATAAAAGTTATATATAAGTTTAGCAAAAAGGATATTCTTCTTTACTTGGTTAAGGAATGATCTGTAAAAATCTATATTGACACATTTTCAATCATGGTTGTTGAAATTTCTTCAGGGTTACTGT